CAAAACTCTTAGCTGGGATGTGCGTGCAGATACAGCAGGGGACTGTGGCGTTCTGGGGCACCCAGTGAGAGCCCTTGGCTTGCAGCCACCTCCACAATGAATGCACCGCACTTGCCGCAGTACTGCAGAGACCAAACGCGAGTTAAATATTGGTTTTTAAAAGTCATCACATTAAATCAGTGGGCGGAGGGTCCCCACTGATTTAGTCCTGCATATGGTGAATATATACATAAAGGGAAAGACGCGCACACACACGCCGTCTCTCTCTCTCTCTCCCTCTCCCTCCTTCTCTAATGCGTTTCCGCTTTGTAGTGGTGATGTGAGAAATCCAGTAGAATGCAGCACTGCAAGTAGGTTTCTGGCCTATCTGTGCCAACTCTCGAACATCAACCTTCGCTCAGCTGGAGGTCGCTCGTTCTCCTCTGCCCCCCCTCCCCCACTCGGTGGTCTAAATGTCCCTTCCCCCAGCCATCCGAGCTGTCGATTCTGCTCCTGTTCAAGTGCAGACTCAAGATCTTTCCTCTTCTCCCTCTGCGTTGCTGCAATTGTGGCATTGCACAACAGCTCGCTTATACTCGCACACAATGTGGCGCCACGGTGGCTTGGAGACGTTAACTACCTCGCCTGGTATACAGGAGGTCGTGGGTTCGAGCCCGACCCTGACGCCTGCTGCTGTATATTTGGAGTTCGCGTATCTCTCTCTCTCTCCGCATGGTCGCGTGGATTTTTCTCCGGGTCCTCCGCTTTTTACCTACACATTTAGAAGCAGGCATTTCGAGTATTTGGATGCTATAAATGTCCATATAAACCACTTGGTTGAGCTATAATTTCTGGCTGGGTCGCTTCTGATCAAGAGCTATACAGCTGTGGGCCTTACCTGTTTCAATAAAAAATCAATCAATAAAAAGTTAAATTCCAGCTACATTTCACTGGGTACATTGACTAATGAACAGACGTATAGCGGTGTTGCAGTGGTTGGTGCGCCGTGCTATGAACCTGGAAATATGAGCCGGGATTCCCGGTCAAAGCTATCATCAGTGGTGAACGGTAATTGAAATAGTCCAGGTTCATCCCCGCTAGCCATCATCAATCTGCACCAATCAGCCAAGGTAGAAAAAAAAAACGCCCCGTGACCTACACGGCTTGAGGAGGGTTCGCCCGAAGATCATTATTGTACGCGTATATCCCCTTTTGTCGATCCACTGCTGGATGAGGGCCTCCCCCCAAGCCCGTTGCAGGTCGTGGGGTTTATTGGGGTTTATTGGGGTTTATTGGGGTTTATTGGGGTTTATTGGGGTTTATTGGGGTTTATATGACCGTGGGCATTTTCGTTCTCTTCTAGCATGTGCACCAACAGGCGCACCAACAGTTCCACATGCACTCCCTTTTAGCCCCGCCCCCCTCCTCCCAATACGTTCCATTTATTGGCTACCACATTCAGATAAGCCCCTCCCTCCCTCCTCCCCCCTTAACTTGTATTTAAGAACTTGTATCTTGGAATCTTTGCCTCACTTGATACAGCAAATTTTGCTGTGACGTTCCCACCTGATGACGGAGACTTGTGTTGCCTCCTGAAACGTCGTGATTTTTTTTTATTTTATTTCTATTATTACTTTTAGTCATTTATAATTTTAATTTTTACCTACGTGACTTTACCGAAAAAAACCTAAGAGTGTTTATATGACCGTACTTCAACAAGCTGGTCGGTGACGGGTTGATGAAGGTGGAGAGCATAGCCGTGGCAATAACGCAAGTACAAATCACATTATCGATGGATTTGCTGTCCTGTCTCCTGCGGCCCCACCTTGCGTCGTTGTTATTACTCCGATTTTAACGTCAATAAATGCCACGGGAAGGACCGTTCAGTGTGTGTTGCCTGGCGAACAGTAGCAGGGCCCAGCAGCCCGTCCCCCCTGTCGCCACCTCCAAATCGGCTCGCCCGCCCTCACACGCAAGTGTCAGAACCGCGGAGGCAACACTGAGCAAGCGACTTCCCCGATGGAGCAATAACACAAAAATAATAAACGATGCGAAGACACCACCACCACCACCACCCAAGCACTACCGCCCACTCTGTATATATGTTTGTTCATTTCTCAGAAACGGCTCCATTATTTTAAACCACGGCGGCAGCGACGCATCGCAAAGCTTGTGGCTGCGACGGCTAAAACGCTGTCAGTCTAAATGTTCATCACCTTAGCGGGGGACGACGTAAATAAGAGAGCGCTTTTTAAAAAAACGCAGGGACACGCCGGCGACGCGGCGGCCGGCCGCCGGTACATTTGGGGACAGCGGCGATTTCCGCGTCCTCTCGCATCTCACGCGCGTCGGCCGGCAAACTGGCCCCGCGGCCGCCGCAGCCGCCCCGCTCTCATTAGACACAGAGCGCTTGCCGCGGTTGAACCACAACACCTCGCTGCTGATCTCGTCAAGGAGCATAAACTATCATCACGTGAACTCCGATCATCCTCCTCGCAGCAGCGGCGGATTTTGGCTGCCCATCGAACAAAGGCGGTCACAGGATCGCGCGCTTTCGGATGCGCTTCTGCGGCCGTCTGGAACGCTCTTCCTTCCGATATTAGGAGGCAACTGGAGCTGAACGCTTTATAAATCTGTATTGAAATCTCATTTCTTTTAAACTGCTTGTTTATGTTTAGTTTGTTGTCCTTTCCCTGCACCTCCGATCAGCACGGTCGGCTACATACGGCCATGCGAGACCTGGGTTACAGGCGGCGCGCAAGTAGCCACGCAGCGCGCTCACGACGCAAGCGAGCGGTCTGACGTTCGCCCCCCGTGGATGTGGAGGAGGGACGACGGGATGTCCCTCTGGGCATCAGCGAGGGCCACGGTGGCCTCGAGGCGAGGACCACACGCCTCGAGCAGGTGACCATCAGACAGCCGACATCAGCAAAGTTTCACTCCCACTCGGTGTCAGGGTGCCTCCTTCTCCCTTGCTCTTCCCACCATGGCTGAGAGCTCCCTCCTCCTTTCCTCTGGCTGTCTACACGGCCAAGGTTCTCATTTTGTGTATGTCAGGGAATTAGTTGAGTTGTGCGCTGTGGAGGAGGAGGCTCGTTCAAGGACGCGACCGGACGGTTCGAGGTAGCCGCCCTCCAGCAACAGCGGAGGGCAGAGGAGCGACGCTCACAACAACGAACGGAGTGCCGGACAAATACAATGCATACTCTTTGGTTCTTTCGGTAAAGTCACGTAGGTATGAAATAAAATAAATCACGACGTTTCGATCGCAACACAAGGGGTCGTCCTCAGGCGGAACAAAATTTGATCCGGTGCAGCAGTTCCACTGCTGCATTACATTTTTTTTCCGCCTGAGGACGACCGCTTGTGTTGCGATCGAAGCGTCGTGATTTATTTTATTTTATACCTACGTGACTTTACCGAAAGAACCAAAGAGTATGGATTCCTGCAGTCACGACAGCTGCAAATCAAGATAAATACAACGCAGCAAAAGTTGACACAGTGGGGTGCACAGGTGGTGCATCTCTGCCAGTCATCCTAGTTGGTCAACCCAAATACATCGGTCTGTGCCATGACCCACTGCCAGCAGCGAGCCTTCGACACTACACATGGCCTCGAAGTGTTACATATCATGGTACAAGCACTGTAGTGACATCAATGCTGTCCTTGTGTGCACAGGTGTGTGTGTGCGTATGGGTGTGTGTGTGTGTGTGCGTATGAGTGGGTGTGTGTGTGTGTATGAGTGTGTGTGTGTATGAGTGGGTGTGTGTGTGCAAGTGGGGAGCGGTAGTGCAGCGGTTAGCGCGCTGCGCTACGAACCTGGCGACCCGAGTTCGATTCCCGCTCACGGCCAACACCACCAGTGACGATTATCTGAACTGGTCCTGGGCCTCCCCTAGGTCGACTCAGCCTGAAATGAGTACCCGGTGCGGTGTGTAAACATCGCCACTGGGGAGACAAAGGCGGTCGGGCGTGGTGCTGGCCACCCACCCCCTCGTGTACCGTTCCGGCCTTCATAGGTGCTCGCTAACAGCACTTGCCCCTACAGTCTGTTAAGGCTATACGGGGGATCTTTGTCTTTGTGTGTGTGCAAGAGCGCATATCGACGTTCTTCACCTGACTCCTGTGAGCGTGGTCCCAAATTACGGCGCGGCGAGGGCATAAATCTGGAAGCTGTGACCAGCGGCAGAACACGGAGCCATGAAGGATGCAATCGATCCCCCCCCCCCCCCCCCCCCCGGACGTTTTGAAATAAAATTAAATTAAATTTCACCTCTTGAAACCGGTATTGAAGATGTTGGCCAAAACGGAACGGTACGGACGACGCGACCACAACTTACTCAGCGCGCAGCCATCTCTGCTCCTTGCCGTAAAAAAAAAAAACACAGGCGTTCTCAAGGCGTGCGAGCGTGAGTGAGCACATTTGTGTGCGCGTGTGAGCGAGCGATGACGCGTGGACAGGTATGAGATAACAGTGAATAATATTCAATGCGGTCCTGGGCCTTCCCTAGGTCGACTCAGCCTCAAATTAGTACGGGACGGTGTGTAAACATCTCCACTCGGCGGCCGGGCGTGGTGCTGGCCACCCACTCCCTCGTGTGCCGTACCGACCTTCATTGATGTTCGCGAACAGCACGTGCCCCGACAGTCTGTAAAGGCTATACGGGGGATATTTTTCTTTGTGTGCACATATCCTGATCATTTCAGACCAGCGCAGTCCTACAACAGATGCCATATTCTCTCTCCGCCCGCTGCAGCAGAGGTGTATGGAATTTCAGCAGGACCTAGATCTCTGCATTGTTGAGATGTAGGTCCTGGTCAAGGTCGACGTTACCATTAATAGGCCAGAGCTCCCCTTTACTATTTGTGCTTTCAATTATTAACGACCTTGATGGTAGGCGGGCCCAGGTAAAGCTGCGTGGCCGGGAGTCAGGGCCAGTTTCTGTCCACCTGTGCGCAAGTGAGCGCGGCACGATGGAGCGTGAACTTGCGTGCGTGTGCGTTGCGCTTGGTCGACTCACCGCCTGCTCCTGGCAGATGTGCGTCAGCCTCTCCACCTCCTCTTCGGCCTGCTGCTTGACGCGCTCGCAGTGCTGCAGGATGAGCTCGTTCTCCTCCTTGATGGGCAGCACGTACGCTGCGCGGGGCGCACCACAGACACGCCCGGGTCGTTAGCGAGCGCGCAGACCGAACGAGCCGGAGCGCGCCCCCCGCCCCCCTCCCCACTCGATCGAAGTCGCGAGGCTCAACCTCCGGGCGGTGCTCGGATTGACGAGGGACCACCACGCACCACCGACCGTCGTGGGGCCGCGCGGGCTACGTCGTGGGCAGCAGAAGCAGCAGCCGAGGGGGCAGCGCAGAAAACATTTCCACCGTGATGCTGCTGGTGGTGGTGGGGCACAGTCCACAACCCACGACCCGGAAGGGTCCTCCTCCAGCAGTGGATTGATATCTTAGGGCAGGACGTATTTTAAACCAATCGCTGTCCACGGTGATTACATGAATCGCCGTGGACAGCGATTGAACTCAGGATGTTATGACAGTCGGGTGCGCCAACTGCTTCATCTCCACGACGACCCCCCCCCCCGTGCATCCGACATCAAGTGTTGTGGCAAATCCTGTGAGGGTGCACTCTAATGATCATGAAGGCACACAAGGGAGTGGGGGGGCAGAATCACACTTGGCTGCCTTTGTCTCCCCAGTACTGATCGTGATGCCACCATGCCTAGGGGAGGTGCGGGACCAGTTCTGATATCGCTCGCCACCGATCAATCGATGCCTTGGCCAGGAATGGAACTCGAACCGCTTTCTATCGCAGCTGCAGCGCGCTAACCGCAGCGTCAACGCTCCACCACCACATTCGCACACAAAGACAAAGATCCCCCGTGTAGCCTTAATAGATTGCTGGGGCAAGTGCTGTTAGCGAAGCAAGCACCAATGAAGGCCGGTAAGGCACACGAGGGGGTGGGTGGCCAGCACCACGCCCGGCCGCCTTTGTCTCCGAAGAGGAGATGTTTTTACACACCAGGAACTCATTTGAGGCTGTGTCGACCTAGGGGAGGCCCAGGACCGGTTTAGATAATCGTCACTGGCGTTGGGCGTGAGCAGGAATGTAAATCGGGCCGCTGAGTTCGTAGCGCAGCTCGCTAACCGCTACACTCCCACACACACACGCGCGTGCACACACACACACGCGCGTGCACACACACACACGCGCGTGCACACACACACACGCGCGTGCACACACACACGCGCGTGCACACAGACACGTGCACACACACACGCGCGTGCACACACACACGTGCACGCACACACACACGCACGTGCACGCACACACACACGCGCGTGCACACACACACGCGCGTGCACACACACACACGTGCACACACACACGCGCGTGCACACAGACACGTGCACACACACACGCGCGTGCACACACACGTGCACACACACACGCGCGTGCACACACACACACACACGCGTGCATACACGCACACACACACACACGTGCACACACACACGTGTGCGCGTGCACACACATACGTGCACACACACACACACACGTGCACAAACACACACGCCCGTGCACACACGCACACACGTGCACACACACGTGCACACGTGTGCGCGCGCACAGCCGGCAGTATCCACTCGGGGACAGACCTTTTTAAAACGCTTCTTGGACTGACGTGCAGCCTCATTTCCTTTGCAGCGGCATCCACTCTCCTTCAAATAATAATGCGTGCTGAATTATACAGCCTGGGTTTCCCTGAAGCAGGGGGCGGGGAGGGTGGAAGGCGGTGCCCCCCCCCCCCCCCATTTCAGCAGCCGCGATGAGCTCCCCGGTGGCTCGCTAGCTGGGGCATTGGCTGGCAGTCACGTTTATATCTTGGCTTCTTGCAAACAGCCCGCGCACATTTGTTCGGCGTGGAATTCTGTCCGGGTTTTTTTCTTCCACAATAATAATAATAATTAAAAACGCATTTCGTTAAAACCAAGACAATATGTTAAGGGGCTGCGTATATATATATGCATTGTTGTTGTTGTTGTTAGCTTCGTACAGGTGCCGGTGGTGTAATTCACACTCATCTCTACCGAACGTGTTCGCTAGAAAAAGACGCGAGCGGTTGGAATTTTCGGGGGCTGAGAAGCAGATTCGTTCCGTAACTCGACGGGCCATCGGTTGGAGGATGGTGGGGCGGTTAAGAGGGATGGGGGGGGGGATAGGTGCCAGGTGACAACTCAGGTGTCGGAATGGGAGCGCGCGGCGATGGTAATTAAAGTAACGCTGTCAATCAGACGACCTCACCCAAACACGCAGGCGCGAGATACTCATTAAGTAAGAGGACATCAATCAATCGACCGAAATTGCACGGGTGAAAGAAAAAAAAAGTCGCTCATTAGCACGAGGCGAATGGAAATTCCGACGTAAATATTTAAAGTGGTAAGCCCGAAAGAAAAAAAAAATCCGTTATGGGAATGACTTCCCCCATGCGTGCGTGGAAAGAGAGAGAGGGTGCGTGGCTGCTCTGGTCTGGGGGCATTGTTAGTGGAATATTGCTGCACGTGCCGTTTCTTTTCCCACCCTCATTGCCAATGCTGGAACTATTCAGCACTTCCTCCGTACTACGGCAGCAGTCGGAGCAAACAACTATCTCGCCTTGCAACTCCGTGTGGGCTCCTAGCACGGGGTGGGTTGGTGCGCCGTGGTATCGTGAGAGGTGGAGGCCACTTGGGGAGGTCCTCATCATCGCGGATGATGATGATTATGCAACTTGATGGCCAAATGGTTATAGCAATTACCATAATATTTATTTACACGAGCTAAAAGTTTGGATTATCTCCCCTTATTCGACACGTGGTCATTCTCTAGGCACTCTGCTTTCCTAACCCAATTAAAATGTATATTTGAATAGGAATTGGCCAATACAGTAGGCAGGAGCCCTCCTGAAAATTGAGGTGAAGGCTTCTAGGACGAAGAATGAAATCGGTGTGACCGTTATGGGTGGAGGGGGTGCTCACACTGCACCCAGCCATCCGAATTCGAGTCTCAGCCACGGCTGCTGACGTCTAGTGGCGAGCGATACCCGCAAAGTTCCGACTTCACCAGCTCATGCTGACCAGCACTCGCGAAGCCTTTGGTCAAATAACGATCTCGACTGGCTCGGCGCCATTGGGTTTGTCCGTCAGCCGGTTTAACAAAGGCATTGTACGTTTCCTGACGATGCAGTTGCCATTGTTGCCACTTCAATGCAAGGACACATGGGACAGACGCAAATGTGGCTTCAGTCACGTTGCTGCACCTGACCCCGCTCTCAGCAGGCGACGGCTGCATTTTTTCTATCGCCCATTCCTCCAGCGGCGCTACGGACACGCGCACGCACACACGCACACACGCACGCGCGTGCGCACACACACACACACACGCATGCGCACGCACACACACACACACGCATGCGCACGCACACACACACACACGCATGCGCACGCACGCACACACACACACGCAACGATCGGCCGCTTCAGGTGCTCCCGCTGGAGCCATGACACGCACGACTTCATGCGCTGCCCCCAAAACGAGATGTCAGGTCACTGTTGCCCAGCCTCCCGTAGACGTGGTAGAGAGAGAGACCCGGGGCATCGATTGTGTCTGCCGCGCCTCCTCCCTCTTGCCGTCCCCTCCATGTTCCTCATCCCTGCACCCCCCACTCCCCCCACGTCTCCATACCGCTCCGCGCAGACCCCTCTCCATCAATTCCTCCCCACACCTCAACCTCTCCCCTATCCTCTTCCCTCCCTCTTCTTCCCTCCCTCTTCTCTCTCTCTCTCTCGTGGATGTCTCTGCTATGAAGAAGGGCCATCATTGCCCGAAATGCCACCTATTTGTTTCCATTTTTTGATGGAAACATGTTTCCATTTTTTGAACGGCATTGTATTGGACAGATGTGTTGAGATCGCGGTAATTGTGCTTGCGCGTCACTGCTAATGCAGCAGTAGCAGCAGCATCGTCACAATTATGTTTGTTTAATTCTCCGCAGACCGAGGTCGTCGTCGCCTTCGTCCCCACCATCAGCCAAGATCAATCCGCTGCTGGATGAAGGCCTCCCAATGCCATCACCACGCCGAGATTTGCCACGGGCCGACCTCGGCGCCTCTGGGATGGGCAGCAGACGCTCGATCGCGTCACCTTCTGAGCCGCAGCTAAAGGTAAAGGCGCGGGTGCAACGCGAAGGCTTTGGACACTCCTAGGGGAAAGGGGGCTCTATGTGCGCGCGCGTGTGGGTGTGCCACTCGACCCTAATTCACACTGACACGTCGCGCGGGCGACGTTGGGATCGCAACCAAAATAGCTTCTTGCCCAACGGTACCGGGACCAGCCACGGCGGCTTCTCCTGTCGGAAGTTTTAGCTTCGTTTCTCTCTTCATCATCCTCGTCGCCGTCCTCGTCGCTCGCCGACGGGGTGTGGGGGATGGAGGGGTGAGGGGGGGAGACGGGACGGGCGGTGCGGGTGCGGCAAAACGCCGCCGTGCGTCCACTCCGACGGCGCCGATTCCTCGGAGGCATCGGGAACGACCATCGCACCGACGAACGCGATTTGATTAAAGCGTTTTGTTTCAATGGGCATTAGTTTATCGCGCGTGGCTCAGTTTCACCGCTTGCTTTGCGAGGAACCCGACGAACCCCTGCGAACTGCACACCACGTGCGGCTTGAGCTCGGATGGCCGTAGAGTCATCCGAACTTTTTGTTAAGTTTTACTTTGTGATGCACACTTGGAAAGGAAATCCATTCGTCATCCCACCACCGGCGGTATTGAGCAAGTGAGTAAAATTCCGCTGCAAAGGCCCATTCCTTCAACGGGACAAACGACACCAACTTCCCATCAAGCACCGCAAGCCTCCCAAACGTTCGTAGCGACCGTGACGACCGCGACGATGATGGTGGTGTTGATGCTGATGATGCTGATGATGCTGATGCAGGCAATGTGGTGACACAGTGGCAAGGATTCGAACTCCTCGTGCGCCTCAACGTCTTGAGCTCGGGACACAACATCTGTCCGGTTTTAAAACCCAACCCACGTGAATATCTCCACTCCACCACCACCTCCCATTGCGCCGTTCGTGCCAACCGCTGCCCT